TATAAAGTGATGTAAAATACTAAAAACATGAACATGTCTGTTGGTTTATACCATGAACTTATCAGATGTTTAAAGCCATTTAATAATTTATTTTATTTACTTAATTTATTCATTCATTTAAAAGAAACAAAACAAATTCATCAAAAAGAAAACATTGAATGAAAAGAGTCCAGAAAGGGGAAAAATCTTATATCTGCCCATTATTTAAAAAAATATAAAATAACTTTAAACAATCACTTAAATTAATCATTTTAATATCCACTTTAAAACTAGGAATAAAAAGAAACATGTTTTGTGTTAGCAACATTTAATTCTAACTTTAAAACTTATCCAACATTAATAAAACTTACCTCAAGTTGACTTTTTGGACATGCATCATATATTTGTACAAATTGTACTTGAGAGGAGATTATTACAGCCTCATATAAAATCAATTATGATGATATCGGGACTGGATCGGTATCGGCTGATATTCAGATTTAGGTATCGGGATCGGAACGGAAGTAAAAAAAAAAAAGTGGATCGGTGCATCCCTATTTTAAACCAGTCAAAATCGGGTCATAATTTCATTATAATCCACGTCTGAGCAGATCAAAAACCCGGGGTCAGCCTAGATAAAATACTAACAACTGTGTCGTCTTTCATCCAAAGTACTTCATCAGTCCGAGGAGCCGCAACAAACTCAGTCTCACAAGCAGCACACTCACATATAGTGGGCCAACCAGTTTGATGGTGATAAGATAGATGGTCTCTGGAGTCCACCCTCTCCCCCGTCGAGTCTTCTGAGGCAGCAATGGCCAAAGTGGTTCAAAACATCAAAGTTCATGAAAGTCTGGATGAAAGACAAAACATTTCAATGAAAAGAAACCATCCAGAGGAACTGACAACTTTGCTGGAGTTGTCTGTAAAGTTGTTAATTTGTAAAAAGTCCTTCTTAAAGTGCAACTTGGTTGAATCAGTTGTGGTTTTGTACGCTTGAGATTAAAATTAAATCATTTTTAGAGCCTGATGAAAACCAGATGTTCTTATGTCCTGATGCCATAGAAAGGAAAACAGGTGAGCTCTGTAAAAATGAAAGTGGGTGACTTCTGTTTTCTATGGCTGTATGCTTCAAGTGTGCAAACTTCTCCATTTAACACGTGAAGATGAAAATAAATGATCTGCCAGGTTCTCATTTTGCTTTGTTCTATCCAGGTGAACTGATTTTGGACCCGTCCACTGCCCAGAAGAACCTGGTTGTATCTGATGATGGTCAGCAGGTAAAATACGAAGAGCGCAAAGTTTCTCACACGGAGGGTTCGCGGCACTTTAACCCAGCCCTCTTCGTCCTGACTCGAGAGGGGTTCAGCTCTGGCAGACACTACTGGGAAGTGGAGTTGGGGCGTAAAACGGCCTGGACACTCGGCGTGGCCAAGGCTTCGGCCCGCCGCAAGGGCGAGATCAACCTGAGCCCTGAAGGTGGGTACTGGTGCCTGTGGCTGAAGAACGGGGAGGTGAAAGCTCTGGCTACTTCTCGCCTGTCTCTAATGCTGCCCAGTCTTCCCAGCAAAATAGGAATCTTCCTGGATTACGAAGCCGGTCAGCTTTCTTTCTACGATGTGAAGGCGCGCCTACATCTCTACACCTTCAAGGATAATTTCAGTGAGAGCGTGCATCCCATTTTCAGCCCCTGTTTGACGCAGGAAGGGAAGAACGCAGCTCCGCTCATCATAGCTCATGTAAAACACAGCTGAGGCAGCCAGAGAGCACACCCCGATCGAACGTCAAGGACTAAGGGCTTGGAGCAAAACAAGTTTTGTTCATGAAGCACTTCACATTGATCAGTATCCACTGCGGATACAAATAAAGAAAGTGGCTTTGCACTTTCTACATTTTTCATCAAACTTTTGACTGTTTTTGCTGAAGTAAAGACTTTATTGACTGACTGCTGTTCATCTCTCATCTTGTGCTTTTTGAAGAATTAACAGAGCCCTATTAAAGTGTAAAAACACCAGTTCTCCCAAGTCTCCCCAATTACATGCTAATCTTATTGGGATTTTGTTTTATCTGATTCAGTTGGATGGACTAAAGTGATCAATAAATTTGAGTAAATGTGTAATTCTGTGACTAACCTTGTAACTCGAATCAGTCTGTATGTGTATTTTTATGGCATTTAATAATTTATATGTTAAAACAATGAAGATGGTAAATATAAGAAGCTGAAGGAACCAAGTGAGTTTGTTGCACGTTATTTTTGAATTTATACCAATGAAAATGTTTAGGTGGATGGGCGTTCTCTATTATGTCTAGCAGTAACTTGTATCTTCTTTCTGATCCTGTTCAATAAAGATCATTTTTAGTGAAATGCATCATTCAAGGTCCCTGTTCTATCAAGGAAATCTTGTGAGTGTGGAACTGAAAGGGTTTAAACCACATGAAGAACACGGTATCAAAATGAAGCCAGGGATTTGTCTTGGGAAGGTATAAGATTCACAAACTACCACCCATTTTCCTTAGGCAATAATGTTGTTTTATTGTCTTCTAAACATCTACAGTGTTTCAGTACATTGTTCACAATTATGTCGGCATAAAAACGCAACTTCTTAAACCTTTTAAAAAAAGTGGTCATAACTTAGCTGACGCATTGTCTCAATGGGTGACAGTAGAAGCCAAGGGCGTCAGAAGCATCCGTAATGTGGGGGGGACACAATGATGTGTGTAACTGTGTGTGTGCGCGCACGCGCGTTAAAAAAAGGTGTTCACTAGTGAACAAAAAAGCAACATTTTACCTAGATTTCCTTTAATTCCACACATTTAAAACATGTTTCTCACCAAGTTTGTGTAAATTCAGCTGTAGGTTTAAAGTAATTTTAACTTTAATACAGAGCGTCCGGTCGGCACTATGTGTTTATAGAGAAATCAAAATCATCACCACTAGACTTTTTTTTTATTGTGTTCAACACTACTCATCTAAATTATGTTTCTCATGAAGCTTGAGGACAATAAGGTGTGGGGTTTTAAAGACATTTCAACTTTAATGCACCTGAACACAGCGTCTCTTCCACCTGCAGCGTCTGACAGCGTCACAGTAACTTAAGCTGAAATGCTACAGACGTAGCACTCCACTTCTCTCCTCCTACCATGTGTTTAATTTCAACCCACCCGGTCAACAACTGCCTGCACAAAGCTCACTAAACTGGCGAGCGAGTAACACAGAGGTGTCTCCATCTCCTCTACCTGTGTGTGTTTTCTGCCGAGGCAGGAGGAGACGCACAGAAACATTGCAGGTGTTACATCATATTCTGTGACCACTGTATATTGTGACCGTGGCACAGTGTTGCCAGGTGAGAAATGTAGGATTATTGTACTAGAGACATAAAATTATCGTATTTTGAGGGAAATTATCGTACACCCATCATAACCAAAATAACAAATCTATTGATGCACTATAGTAGTGATGGGTCCGCTTCCAGACCAGCTCTGTTTCTTCTTTTTTTCTTTTCCTCACTCATGGGGTGGGCGCAGCGGACTTTTCAGCCAATCATGACCGTTGTTCTGAGGCAAATGCATACACGTCACTCGTAGGTAACATTTAGAAAAGCATGATTGGCTGGAATTTCCAGCCAATCATGCATCTGTTTGCGGACACAGATGCCTTCAGGGTTCACAAAAAAACTCAGACAGTTGCGACAGGCTGATTACAACCGATTACAACCACACATTCACGGAATGGTCAAATTATTGTATATTTGGCCTTTTTTGGGATTATTGATGGTACATCGTACAGAGGGCAAAATTTCCATACAAATACGATAATTATCGTACACCTGGCAACTCTGCCGTGGCAACAGGCTGCTGTGTTTAGAGTTGGAGGTAACCAGGAAAACCTGGACTGGAGTTTCAGTAGATTGAGTATTCTCCTATTAATCAAGTGGAATGGAGTTGTTCATGAAGAATGAAATGGCGCCAAACTAATGTTTCATAGTAAAAGTGGGGTGGTCCAAATGAACAGGGGTTTTTTTATGTGGGGGGGACTTGTCCCCTTCACATATAATGGTTGCGACGCCTATGGTACAAGCTAATATTGATGCAATGTAGATAAACAGGTGGTGGTGGTATCCAACACTGATGCCATAGAGGCCATGTTTAATCAAATGTGTCAACGTTTACATTTTCCTATTCTGTACATGAGTTCAATCTTTGTCCCGTTTGATATAAAATGTTTATCCACCTTATTCCTAGCCCCCATGCTGCCTTACGGGAATTATGGGCGTGACTTCTAGCGCTGACCGGAACTGGCGTTTGTTTATGTGCAAACAGTACGAGCTAATGTAGTTTCTCCAAGGATTGTAGATTTAATTTAAATGTGTAGAAACATCAGCTGTCAGAGCTCAAACAGGACAATTTAAATCATACATCTGCCTGCAGACGAGGGATGGAGAACGACCTGAAGAATTGGCTGCAGATCACATCTACTAGCATATTTAGCTACATCTACTAGCATATACATCTACTAGCATATTTAGCTACATCTACTAGCATATTTAGCTACTTCATTGACTCGGTTGTGTCTGACGGTAAAGTGAACAACAACCTGAAAAGCTCTGAGGTGTATTAGTATCTACACAGTAATAAGGTCGGTGGTGTTTTGTTAAAGGAGGTGGGACACAATCTTATTGACCTTCAATCAACCTTTATTTATACAGGTAAATCCCATTGAGCCTCGAGGACTCGAGGACCTTAAAGCAGACACAGAGTCCAGCCAAAGCCTTTAAGTCCTCCATCACAGAGCTTGGGTTAATTGCAAAGAAAATCATAATACTGAAGATGAACAAATATTATAATGCTGTGCCCTCCATACACTTGAAATCATACCCGATATTATCTTCACTCTGTTTTCAACCCTTCTGAGGATCCGGGTCTCTTCTCCGGTGGTTTATTGTAGCTCATTTATTCATTCATTTTCCATCATTGTGATTATATATTTATCTATCTCATTGTGTGCATTTGGGTTTAATAGTTTTATTGTATATTCTGTTCATTAGAACAGAACTTAGAGAGGTGGAGGTATGCACTTGAAAGAAGAGGAATGAAAGTCAGCCGTATTAAAACAGAGTACATGTGTGAATGAGAGGGAGGCAGGTGGAACAGTGATGCTACAAGGAGCAGATGTCACAAAGGTGAAGAACTGGAAGTGGTGGAAGTGAAGATGTTGAGGTTCTCCTTAAGAGTGACAAAGATGGATGGATTGAACATGGACTTTTTTTGGGTAAGGATGGATAAGATTAGGAATGAGATCATCAAAGGTACAGCACAGGTTGAACAACTGGGAGATAAAGTTAGAGCGGCCAGACTGAGACAGTTTGGACATGTCCAGAGGAGGGACAGTGGGTATACTGGTAGAAGGATGTTAGAAATGCAGCTGCCAGGAAAAAGGAAATACATGGATGCAGTTAGAGAGGACATGGAGGTAGTTGGAGTGAGGACAGAGGATGCAGAGGACAGAGTGAGATGGATGTAGTGAACTAAGCCTCAGGTCAAAAAGCCTTCCTGGAACAGGAACTGTTATTTCATTGATTTGAGTCCAGAAATACAAATTAAGCTCATCCAGAGACTTTCTAAGTGTCCTGCACTGATCAATTGAAAGAACACTCTCTTTTATTATCATTACTATTTTACAATATCTTGATAATCAGTGTGTTTAGTTCAAATCATTTTTAAATGTTGAAGTGAACCACTCGTTTTAAATCAACTGTGAAACAGTATAAATGATTTTTAATCCTCATTCAAAGTAGAAATCAAGTTAAAATGCCTGTTACAAAGTAATTATGCATTTTTTTGATCTTCTGTCTGAAATGAGCAAGTAGTGAGTCGGTCAAAAGTGAAGGAACGGTCAAAAACATGTTTATCGGAACGAAATGTCATGTTTATCTCTATCAGACAGATAGAAGAAGACTGGCTCCTAAATGTCTCTGTTCTTCAAAACATATTTCTGTCTGCTCCAAAACATTTCTCTGTTTGTTCCAAAACATCTCACTGTCTCCTTGACTAGTAATAACCCTCTTACGTCACTAAAACCACACCCCTGTTGGTTCGTTCAACCAATCAGGAAGTTCTCAGAGGAACCGGAAGTGACCTCTTTAAAAGGGTCGACACTTCCTAGTTCCAGCAGAACAAGAGTTCCAAGCTGAACAAAGTTTCAGAGAGAACCAGAGTTCCAGGGAGAACCTCGAACGAGAAGTTCAGAAGAACAGAAGTTCGAGCAGTTTCTAATGGAATGACCAGAGTCCGTCGATGCCACGACGTCTCGCTGTGGCTACCCGACGAACGCTCTGAACAATGAAGAAGTCTGTGCTGTTTAACGAATTGATCTCACGACTCCTGAGGTCACAGCTGTTCTTACGTAGACGCTGAAAAGCGTTGAAAGGCAACTCTACACCAAGGCCGAACTATCGTCTGCAAAGGTAAAGAGTCGATCTTCAACTGCGAAGTGTACCGTGGGTTAAGCTGCGTCCAAAGGAGCGTGCTGTTTCTGGTTATAACAGACACATTCCCTCACCCATCTCTCTCCATTTAAACTCCTCAATTTCCCATCTTTAAAACTCTTCTATCTTGCCAGTAAATCATCCAGATATTTTCATAAATGTCTGTTGTAATTAGTTGCAAGTGAGATATCATGGCCGTATGGTTTCTCATTGTAAAGCTCATTAATTAAGCTGTGTTATTGTAATCAATCTGCCAATTATTGTAAATATGTGATGTGTTTAAATCGTTTTAATAAACGACCCACTGTTGTTGGTGAGTCAGAAATTAAAACATGTTTCCGTCCACATTTAATATTCAAAACACGATAGTACTCAGTCCAGAAAAATGAAAGAATCCGTTTAAATTATGTATAATATCAGACAGGTATCTGTTCATTACATCGAGGAGGATGACTCGCTGTGGTGACTCCTGATAAGAGTACAGCTGAAAGAAGAAGAACAGATCACCAGAAAAGATTAAATCATCTTAAACATAGGTTTGTACTTGTACTATAGGTGCTTCAATCGTCTGTTGACACTTGAAAGCCATATTTAAAACCTTCCTGTTACCACCTGAAGGATCATGTCATTGCCACCGTGTCATGTGTTTGTTAGCAAAATATCCCATGAACCACTGAAAGGATTATTAATAAAACTATTGGAAACCAATCATTGGATGTTCAGAGGAGCTGATAACGTTCCTCCTTTGGCACAGGAGACCACAGCCATGGGGGATAAATTTGTATCTGGGGTAAGAAGAGGGGGTGGGAGTGGGGTATATTTTGGGTAGGCACTGAGTGGAATGGGGGGGGGGGGGGGGGACTGGAGGTGAAAGTGGTCACAGCCTGTCTCAGATATCAGTGGTCTCGAGGCAGCTGCTCTCTGGTGAGTGTTCACATATTCCTGCTTTTAGTGAATCTCTTGTCTTGCTCCAATGTAGAGATTATGCAGAGGTCCAGTTGTATATCTGAAGCAGATCTACCAGAGGAGTGTTGTTAGATTGGTTATTAAGCTAATATTCGGCTGTTGACAAGCTGCGATCTGAGCAAATGACTTTTTGGTGTTTTAACCAGTTTATTACAGAATCAAATAAATTCAAGAAAAATAATCTGACCACAGGAGCATGTTTGAAACAATGTGCCTAGAAAATAAAGATATTTTGCATGTGCCGGTATTACATGAACCAAAATTCTTGGAAAGTTGTTAATCTGCTCCGCCATTAATACCTCAGCCTTTAGCTCTGAGCTGTTTAAAGTCAGAAACACTGATGTACTTTCAGAGAATGTATGAGAATACACACAAGTATGGTGTGTTTTACCGTAAATGATTTACATGTGGTTACTTCACAACACTCTAAATAGATTACTGGTACTGTGGTACTTGCAAGTTCCAAATACTACACACGTTTGTAAAATATGCCATGTTTATGAAAATATTAACTAGGCTAGAAATCTAAAAACAATGATAATATAGTTTTACTAAGCATATTTCAGTTTATAATCAAATGTCAAAGATAACAAAAAAAGAAAATAAACTTTCCTAAAATCTTTTTTTTAATTTGTTAACTCAACTCTGGGTTCTGTACCAAATGATACAATTTCCTTTACTCTGATTATAAGTTTATCTTTATAATGAAAAAGGTAAAGTTTGAATATAAGGGGTGAATTTTTACAAAGTTGTTTCCATTTTCCAGTGCATGGGATTGATGAAGTTTTATTACATTATTGAATTAGTTTATGGGTTCAAAAGGCAGATTGTTCATATTTTATGCTGCTTTTGGAAACAGATATGTACTAGATCTACAAGTCTCTGATCCGTTTGGCGCATTTAAAAACAAAAAGAATAGTTGAGAACACTTTCACCTTGTAAAACTTTTTTTTAACAATACAACATTATTTATAAATCACTTTAAAAACAACACCATTGCCCAAAGTGCTGTACTAACACATAAAAGCAAACATGAAGATTATAAAGTCAATTGAACCCGTAAAAGTAATGAACTGTTACAATCATAAAAACAGCAAACAGTAGAAACAATAGAAACAAATAAATTAAAAACAGTAAAACCAACATTTCAAGCTGAATTAATAGCTAAAGAGAATTAACTGTCTTCAGAGAAGATTCAAAAACAGGAAGTGAGTCAGCTGACGTGTTTTTATATGGCACCACATTTGAACTGGTAATTTTTTTCTCTTTAGTTTTTTAAATTAAAACTATTTGCACTGCTCCACTTTACATCAGTGGCTCTGCAGAGTCTTCAATCGTTGATTAGCTATGAAAGCAGTACTTATGGACCACTCCCAAAATTAAAACTGCAAAACCATAAAAACGTATTATGCAAAGCTTCTGTGCTGAACATTTTCCCCGAGACTGCAATTTCAGGGTTCCAAGACAGCAGCGCTGACCACCGAGCTACTGTAGCCCACCATGAATACTGTCACAAAAAGCTGGTGAACCCAATGGTGCAGGCAGGCGGGCAAGGGCTGAGGATATATAAAGGTATATATATATACACATATATATGTATATATATATATATATATACATATATATATATATATATATATATAT